TGGCCCTGCCCACCTCCAACCTTTAGAAGTTCTAGCACCTGGCAATATGGTCTGCAATCTGAGGTACAGGGTGGGAGGTGGGAGCCCCACTTTACTTTTTTCATTAGATACTTAGATGACTTTTGTTTGGGGTAAAACGATGTTTGGTGAGCCTGATGTGAATAGGAGGAAATGGAAGGAGGTGGATGGGAGACAGGAGAGTGGTGAGCATTGCCTTGTATTTGCTGGCATTTTGTGAGCATGTTACTCCAGTGCCCTGACATGGTAAGACCTAAGAGCATGTTCGTGCCCTAGTTGGCCCCAGCCTGGCCAGAATTCTGAGGCTCCTCCTCTGTGTCCTTATCAACTGTAGATCTAGGATTCTTCTTCCTTACTGACAGCCCTCAGCCCTTCACGGAATTAAGGATGCCGAGACATGGGTTGTTGCATTGTGGCTGCTCCTCCATTGAGTTTCGGGGTGCTCTGTATGCTCGTATGAATCTGCATGTGCGTGTAGAGGGGGAGGTGTCTGTGTGAATGGTGTATAGAAAGAAGTCAGAGCGTAGAGACCAGCAGGACCAATGTTTAAGATGGTGCTTAACCTTCCTCCCAGAAGGTAGCCAGATCTCCCTACCATCCATTCCTCTGCCCCCACTTCCCACACAAACTCCTACACTGCTCCAGCTCCCAAAGAGCCAAACTAAAAAATATCCTTTGACTAGCTCTCCCAGTATGTGATTGAAAACAGTTCTGTTCTCCTGCCTCCTTGTAAGCTGGGAATGAATCCTATGGCTGGCCCTCATTTGTTGAATCCAGGTCACCTTGATTTACTCCTAGGCTGAAGAACTGAGTACTTCCTGTTTGAGTCTGTGGTGGAATGTAGAGGAATGTTCTAGACTAGTACTAGTTAAGATGACTGAGTTTACCCATTCTAAGGGATGTGGGATAGTAACACTCCATTGTCAGATCCCAGCAAATCATAGAACCCTCACACGGGACAGCCTCAGCAAGACAGAGCCTTAAAGGAGATGACTTCCTTGGTGCCTTGGGCCATGGACCTCTAGGCCTCTCTGGAGCTAGAGGTGCTCATACACCTCTGGTTAAAGAACACAGTGTTCACTGAGCTCAAAGAAACTGCACATGCCTGAGGATGGGATCGTTTGGAGAATGCTTAGAAACAACCCTCAGCTTTCCGAGAAGCTCTGATTTCTGAGGCGTTCCCTGTAGCCCCAGAGGCAGGTAGGTGTCCTCTACAAGTTTCCAGCACTATGTTGTCGCCCAGACTGTCCTGCATCACCCAGAAAAATCCAAGGCACCTGGGAGTTGTTTTTCATTCCTAGGAAGATCAGGCCGCATTTGAAGGAGCTCCTTAGGAAACCCCGTGGAATCTTGTATATAAGTCTCACATTTGTATTTTAAACGTTTTCTTTTTTGGTCTGTTTTAAGCATATAAATGGTGCTCAATACCAATGTTGGTCTGAGGTAACATTCTGACTCTATTTACTCCTGTGTGACAGGTGGCCGACAAATGGAGCCAAATACGGTGCTCAACTTAAATCACAAAATTTTATCTGACAACAGCCATTGATGCGGTTTTTTTGTTCTGTATAGCAAAAATTGACTCCTTACTTTCATAACTTATTAAATCATCTGTGGTTTTGCAAATCATGGCCGTGTTTGTTACCTTGACTACTCTCATCCCCAGCATATACTTGGGCAAGCTAATCTTGAGAATGAGCGCCAAGTTCCTGGGGCAAGGGGACATCTAGGAGCACTGGCTGTGGCTGCTCAAGTCATCAGCCCATGGTGGGGAAGAAGCATCCGCTTCTGACTTATCATGGGATGTGACTTAGGGAAGAGCTCCCAGCCCAATCACCATGGTCCTCTTCTCCATGACTAGGGTTTCCAGGAGAAAATACTAGCCTCTGAGCTAAATTTGAATTCCAGAGAAACAGGGAACAGTTTGTAGTATAAAATAAGAGACACACTAAAAAAAATATTTGAAATGTTTCTGGAATTCAAATTTAACTTAGAAGTCTTGCATGTGTATTTTTTTTTTTTTGAAATTTAGTCAGCCAACCTGTAAGCTGTACCACAATTAGAAAATGTCATTTTCTCTCCCCCACTTGTGTGTTAGCCAGTGTTGGGGAGTTGGGTGGGGAGGGATTGAAAGACAGATTCCTCTATCCACTTTTGTAAGAACTCCAGCAGGGCTGTGCAAGTATGAAGTTGTCAGCTGTTGGGCGCCACACACTAGGGGTGCTCCATATTTCACCTGTTGGGCGCCACACACTAGGGGTGCTCCATATTTCAAGAGCTCAAATTTGTTATGCTAATCATTTCTAGCTTCAAACTATCTCCTGACATTAATTGGATAAATCTTAGTAATTCCCAATTGTAGATTTTAGTTTCTATTTCTGCCTCTTTTATAAAACCACAAAATAGTCTCACTACTTTGATAGTCACTTTTCATGAAGAAATGTTCGGTTGATACTTACTGTCTTCTTGGTGACGTCATCCAATGATGAGGTGACCAATTTTGCTTCCAAAAATGACTGTTAGAGACTTCCCCCTTGAAGTTATAGGACTGTGTGACCTGTCTCCCGGTAGACTACACAAAGACACAACTATTCCCTTGCTTTTAGATTTACCACATCTAGGTGTTTTGTGTTAACTGTGTAAAGTTTTTAACACCAGCATTTTAAAGATTTTTATTTACGTATGTGTGTGAATGACACATGTGCAAGGCTGTTCACAGAAGTCAGAAGGCATCAGATACCCTGGACATAGAAGTACAGGTGGTTGTGAACCTCCTGGTTTTGGGTGGCAGGAACAAAATTCTGATCCTCTGGAAGAGCAGCAAGCACTCTTAGCTAGTAAGCCATCTTTCCAGCCCTTGTTTCACTATGTCAAACAGGCTGGTCTCAAACTCGACAAAAGTCCACCTGTTTCTACCTCCCAAGTGCTGGGGTTAAAGGAGTGTGCTCCCACACCCAGGTCAGTCTAACAGTTTCCCATCAATGTCCTTATTGCCACCAAGGCCACACCTTCTTTCTTGTGTACCCATTCTTTTTTTTCTTTTCTTTCTTGTCTTCCTTTTAGCTATGCTCTCCCCTGACTCCACTGCCCATTTCTCCAGGGAGACCTGTGGGAGATTATTTAGCCTGTAAGCGTGCCTTTGAGGGATTATGTTCACTGGGTTAGCTGTGGGAAGACCCATCCTGAGAGTATTACTTGGGCTGGGGTCCTGAACTGTATGGAAAGGGTAAGTGAGCAGAGCGCTGGCATCCATTGCTCTCTGCTTCCTGGCTGTGGATTTGATGTGAACAGCTGCTTCAAGCTCCTGCCACCCAGACTCCCCTGTCGTGATGGACAGTACCCTGAACTGGAACAATAAACCCTTTCTCCACTGAGCTGTTACAGGAAGAGAAATTAAGACACAGAGAAAACAGAAATACTGGCAGGGAGAGAACAGGTTGGCATTGGAGGGGTAAGGTTGAAATGTGTCCCAGCTTGGACTCTGAAACAAAGGCTTGTGTCCAAGAGCAAGGTGTTACTGGAAACTTTTTAACTAGGATATGATCATTAGACAGTTTCAGCTCTTTCCAGTCTCTTCTGCAGTGATAAGGAAAAGAGGATAGTCTATGGCTATCCTGAATGTTTCCAATCTCATCAGATCTTGGAAGGTAAGCAGGGTCAGGCCTGCTAGTGTTTGCATGGGAGAGAAGGGTAAGAAAGGTTTTTGAAGTCAGAGTCCAGGACTCAGCAACTAGAAGTCTGAGATTTTACAGGAAAATTGTCAGAGTCCAAAGACAACAGAGATGTAAAACTCAAACAAGAGATGGGAGAGAGAATTTATGAATATATCTTCTTAAACTGACAATAAAATATTTACCACAAAACACAGCATTCTGAACCTCAAAACATATCTCAGCAAATAATGAATAGACATAATACAAACTATAAGACCAAAAACTGAAATAAATTAGAAATCAGCTGGGAATATCTTCGGTCCTTTGAGTAATGCACTTCTAAATTGTGTTTGGGTCAAAGAAGTCTCAAGAGAAATTAGAGTGGGTTGGCTTTTTCTGAGAGAGGAGGTGGGGGTGGGAGAGAACATGTATGCATGCAAGCCATAGCCTGCATATGGAGGTCAGAGGACAACCTCACCTTCCATCTTGTTTGGGACATCTTGTTTGCTGCTTCATATGCAAGACTAGATCAGCTTGGTTGGATGCATGTGGGATTCTCCCAATGAGGACCAAATACCAGTGGCTGTCCAGGAATCCTCCAGGCCTTTGGTATTAGATTGGGTTCTCAGCCTCTCTGGAATGAGACAGCTATTGCTGGACTACTCCAATTCTATCATGAAAGCCAATCTAATAGGTTCTGATTAAATACAGACTGAATTCTGTTGGTTCCGTACATCTGGAAAATGCGAACACAGAGTACTAGCTCAGGTGAGTTCTATGTATGCATGAACCGTAATCACCAGGATTGTACGGGCAAATCTCTAGATCACTTCTTGAACTTTTTTTTTCTTTCTGATACACTATCCCAAGAGTCTCCTCATCATCTTTTGATTATAAGCCCAAGGCTTTAGGTTCTTCTCCCTGCCTCATGCCATGGGAATACATCCACCTTTAGAGAGAAACGTTAAAAAATAAAGTCATGAAGACCTTGCTGACCACTGTTGGCTCATGGTTCTTCTGATCAGAGGGAAGAGTCAGTGCTTAAAGATGTGACTGGCCTATTCAGACACCACCATACTCCATGGAAATGCCCAAAGTGCCCAATGTTTTGTTTCAAACGAGTTTCCTTCTCTAACCTGCTGTCATTATTTTTCAGGGTATCCAAACAGCTGGCTTGAGTATTAGTTGCATTCAATGGGAGAGGAGACAGGGTTACTCCATTTAAAAAGGGACCCACCCACCATTTCTACTGATTATAAATACATCCATTGAGGATGAACTCTCAACCCAATTGCTCTGAGTCTTGAACAGAAAGCTCACATTCATCACTTAATAAATCATTTTGCCTCAATTTTTATTACATTTAAACATAGGTACAGACAAGTTTAAAGGGTGATCACAATAATTCAACAATCACTGATCAATTCTGAATTTCAATTAAAATGTGCTGCAGACATTTTGACTTGTCAACTTAAAACTTTTGCATGCACATGATAGGAAAATATAAACTCAATGCTTTACCTAGTCTAAGAAAAGTAAGCATACCACATTATCTAACACCTACTTTCACCTTTGTATTTCCCTAAATATCCCTCAAATGTCTTACAGGGATTTTTCTTTTTCTGACTTTATTTCTCAATAGAAGATCACACTTTGCATGTGGCTGTCTCAGGCATCTTCTTGTTCTAACATCTTGGCTCTTTGAAAAGTACAACTTAATGATCACTTCCGATGTCTCAAACTCTCAATTTGTCTATTACTGTATGATCTAACACGTTACTCTCAATTCTTTGTAAACAGGAAGATAAGTCTAGAGAAGAGATTTCCATAGACGTTCACTAACTGGTTTTGGCAGTATATCATAACATGTGCTTCTGCGGCCTCAGGAGAAGCCACAATGGCTGCTCCTGTTCCGAGGGGAACTCTGCCTGGCAGATCTCAATGTGTAAGCAGGTGCTTCTTTAGCTGTACTCTTCTGGGATTATGCAATGTTCCTTAATTGTCTTTCATGTAGTAGGTTTTACCATCAACTTTTTGCTAGATTTAATGACAATGACAGTTTTTAAATGGCTTGTTTATTGCTTTGTATATATTTTTAAAAGATGCTATTCTTCAAATGTTATAAAAAGCTTTTCCCCCCATAACCTTTAGAAAATATTATATCCAACCCTGTCATGAGTATTTTTATGTCTGACATGTCTTAAGTTTGATCAAAGGATGTACCTTCAAGTTAGTTCCTGTGTCTATTCATATCAATAACCCTAAAATGATGTCTTATCATAAAAATATCCTCTAGGTGCACTTATCGTCCCCTCCTACTCCAAACATGCCATTGTTCATTTCTTCAATATCCTGAATCCTTTTGGAGGCAAATGGCATTTGTAAACCAAAAAATGGGTACTGAGCATGCTCACTAGGTACAAGAAGACATTCAGAGGTTTCCTTGAAGTTTTATTTTTCTTGCAAATACATTTAAACACATACAACTACTGATGGGCCAAAAGAAGTCAGTTAAGTGCTGAATGCCTGCTTAATTCTAATATTCTGCTCAGAAGGAAGGGACTAATTAAAGCTTCTAGAATAATTTCTAAGATGACAAACCAATGGGGTAAGTCAAAGAATGAAGGAACTAGGTCTAGGGGAGATACAAAATATTAAGGTAATGAGTAGATTGTTTAATATAAAATATTCATCTGTAACTTTATACTTAAATCCTAAAGGCTGCAGATACAGCTCAGTGGTAGAGTACCTCCTGAGCATGTACAAGGCCCTGGATTCAGTCGTCAGCACTACAAGGAAAAAAAGTATTAAAACTTATGTAATAAAAAGGCAGTCGTACATGGAAACATACCAAAGCGATACCTCCAACTGGACCTTCGTTGGATTTGAGAATTTAAGTAGTTATTATAGAAGCAGGTATAGAATCAGAGATAGAAGAAAGTGGGGGCATGTTCTCAACTCCACTACTAAAACCAAAGCTAGGGGAACTAAAGATAACTGATTACATTTGAACAGGTAACAAAACAAATAATGTTCTTAAGCCTTGAGGATAGAAATGAACCTGTAACTATCACAGATTATCAGAGCTAAAGACCTCGATTCTTAAAAGCTTATAAATTAAAAATCTCTCCAAGCCTAAAGTGCTAACAGGTTCACAGCAGGAGGCTCTGTCAACACTGGCCTTCTACAATAGCTAATATACTGTTTGGATGACAGTCTGTCCACCTCTGTCTGCTCAGGCCAACTTCTCCAGTACTGTAAGACTCTATTCAGCTAGACCCAGAACCACATCCCACTACAGATACAGGAGAGTATTAGAAAGAAGTCTCCCCTGGGGGAAAATTTTAATTTGAAACAGTAAATTCTAAATTAGTAAATTGAGTCTTTTTTAATCATTAAGGACTATGGAAGAAAAAAATGTCCTAAACTCTTTGTATGTATATGTATGCACATTGGCACACACATATACATACATATATGAGTGTGTGCATACAGCCTATGATGATGTCTTGGCCAATGACAGACAACATACATCACAGTAGTCTCATTAGACTGTAACTTGTCTGGAAAATTCCTACTTGTCCAACTACATCAGAGCTGTCATGACTTTATAACTACTATAACATCTTAGGCACAATGCATTGCTCATTTGTGCAAAGAAACCCTCTGTGCTGGCAGCCAGACGACATCACAGCACACACAATTATATACAGTACATGACACATAGTGATGGTGACAAACTACATTACCAGTTTACACATTTGCTATACTACACTTTTATCCTTAAAGTATACATATTCTACTAATAAAATTTACACCAAGCATGATGGCTCATGCCTCTAATCCCAGTACATGGGAGGCTGATGCAGGAAGACTGCAAGTTCAAAGCCAGACTGGTCTATATGAGTTCAAGGCCATCCTAGGCTACATAGTGAAACTCTATCTAAAATAACCAAGCAAACCAACAAAAACAATTACTATAAAAAGTATGGATATATGCATGCATAGCAATTAGTAAGAAGAGGCCATGGATTTGAAGGAGAGTGGGGAAGAGTGTGTAGGAGGGTTTGGAGAAAGGGAAGGGAGAAATGTTGTAATTAAATTATAACCTCCAAAAAAAATTTTTTTAAAAAAGTTATGGTATGTTGATCAACTCAAGAGATCACACTGATTGGCTGACCCAGACCATCTAGGGCTATGCAAATACAATGATGTGCCTATAAACATGAAAGTGCCTAATGAAGCCTTTCCTAACTGTATCCCCATTGTTAAGTGACATGGCCATATATACATGAAAGTCTTCTATGTGTATATATGAAATAGATGCATACATACACACATGTATGTTGTATAAGGGGCAATTCATAAAGAGCCTTATTGCTAATACACAACATGTCAAGTATTCTTTCCCTTTATGAGAAGGACTTCTCTCTATAACAGCTCACCATTTTAGGGACTGAGGCCCAATTCCTCACATTATTAACTACATCAGAGACTATCTCAAAAAGAAAATTCATAACACAGAAGCTCTTAGAAAGAGATGGTCCTCTCACGAAACAATGCTTATACTCAACATATACTCAACAGTTACTCATGTATTTTGTTTTTGAAGTGAGGCCTTTCATACTTTTTCAAGAATTTTTAACATGTTTGGTAATAGTCCTTAAATGGTTGATATCGGCATTCTTTGTGCATCCACTGTCCATGACTTAGTGGCAACTATTTGCAATACAAGTAAAAAAGTTGACTCTAATTTGATTTTCATTCTACTCACTACTCTTCTGGTTGCTATCTTGGATTAGAGGGATGAATTAAAGTTCTCAGGCTTGTCTCCTTTCAGAAATCTCTGATATGGAGTAAGGGACGAGCCATAGATAAAAGGTGCCCCATACTCTTTCCACTTATACAGCCTTTCCTTAAGGTGGACTTTTTTGTGTCTACAAAGGTTTGACCTATAACTGTAGGCTTTCCCACACTCCATGCACTTGTAGAGCTTCTCCCCAGTATGGATTCGCTCGTGTTCAGTTAGGAATGAATACTGGCTGAAGGCCTTTCCACACTGATTACACTGATAGGGTTTCTCTCCGGTATGGATCCTCTGATGCCGATAAAGGTTTGATTTACAGCCAAAGGCTTTCCCACATTCTTCACATGTGTAAAGTTTCTCTCCAGTATGAATCTTTCGATGTTCATTGAAGGAAGAATACTGGTTGAAGGTCTTCCCACATTCATTGCACTGATATGGTTTCTGTCCAGTATGAATTCTCTGGTGTTCAATAAGGGTAGACACACGTGTAAAGGTTCTCCCACACTGCAAGCACTGGCAAAGCTGCTCTCCAGTATGGAGTCTCTGATGTTCAGCTAGGGATGGAAACTGACTGTAGCCTTTCCCACACTCAGCACATTTATAAGGTTTCTCTCCTGTGTGGATTCTCTGATGTCTATGGAGCTTTGCTCTGCAGTTGAAGGCCTTGTCACACTCAGCACATTTATAGAGCTTTTCCCCAGTGTGAATCCTCTGGTGCACAGTGAGGGTTGAACACTGGCTGAAGGCCTTCCCGCATTCCCGGCAGCGGTAAGGTTTCTCTCCAGTGTGCACCCTCAGGTGTTTAATGAGTGTGGAGCTGCTGCCGAATGCTTTCTCACACTCACTACATTTGTACGGCTTCTCCCCTGTGTGGGTTCTCTGGTGAGCCAGGAGGGAAGATCTATGGCTGAAGCTTTTCCCACATTCACTGCATTTGTAAGGTTTCTCCCCAGTGTGAATCCTCTTGTGCTCTAGAAGATGAAGACTTTGGCTAAAACCCTTCCCACATTCACTGCAGACATAAGGTTTTTGTCCTGGGTAAATCTGAAAGCTTCTCATTAAATCAAAATCCTGTGATAAATCTTTCTCTGAAGTGTGATACATAGCAGGGGCCCTTTCTATGGGATCACCCTCTTGTGAGACAAGCGCTTTACTGATGAACAAGGGTTTCCCCAGCTCAGGGCCTGCAAGAGTTCCATCTTCACTGGTGGTTTCCTTGGGTGATGCTGACCCTGGCTCATGAGCTTCCTTTGCTTGCTCCTGTGCTGTATCTTGGCTCTCAGATTTCACAAGCTCTCCAAAGCTGATTTTCCAGTAAACACACTTAGTGGACCCATTCTTCATCAGCCTACGAGGCGTTTCTTCAGTAAAAACATCTTGTTTGGGGGGCAATGTTTCTTTTTCTGGCAAAATCTGGAAATCTGAAAAGAATAGGAAGAATTAATTCTTCCTTTGCTAGAAGAGAGACATGGATGCATCAGAAAGCCAACAAGACAGGCAGTAACACATAGAAAAGAGGATTGGTGCAGCCTGATCCCAAACATGGACTTGAGTCTGGAGGGAGAGCAGGATGATCAGAGGTAAATGGGCTCAAGAGTAGGGTATGGAGATAAACTAGACAAAGCAGCGCTGAAGATGAGGAGACTGCAGTTCTAGAGAAAAAGAATTCCAGACAGGGAAGGGCAAAGCAGACCACTTAAGGACCTATAGAACGTTGTGAAGTGACAAGCTGAGGCTAAGCACTGTGTATCCCTCAGTTCCTCAGCCGCTCCCTTCACTCCTGCTACCCCCACTGCATTTTCCCTCTTGGTCCTCTGAACCCCACAGTCATAAGTGTAAAGTATTTAGATTGCTTTTCTTAAAATTGGGACTTCACTTCTACTATAATTTCATCACAGCCTGTGAAAGGTGAAAATGGTCTGTCAAAAAGATGATGTTTGCGTATTAAATATTACAACAGCCCCAAACACAACTGTGTTTGATCTAAGTTCAACACATCAATCACAATGAAAACTACAGAACAGGCCAGCCAAGTGCAGCACTCTCTCCTCAGACTGAAAGAATAACATGCTTTCTTGCTATCTCTCATCCCTTTCCACCTTTCTGTTAGGCAAGAGGAGAAATGACTTATTCATTTCTTCTGTAAGCTGGCACCAGAAGACTGCATTCTCTTTGTAGGAATCTTATGAAAATCTGTAAGTTTGTGAAGTTAATTTGTCCTAAAGGTCTGAGTATCCCTAACCTCGAGTTTAGCTCTAACTCTATGTAAAAAAATTTAGTTTGAGTTCATGTTAAGAAACACTGAGCTTTCTTTACTCAATCCATAACTGAAAATGGATTGACATTGCACGACATACTCAGGTAGACTCCTAAGCCGCCATTTCCCAGTGGCTCACTCACCTAGGCATGTGTCTTCAGGGGCCTCTCTTTCCATGCAGGGATCTTGCCCTTTTTGCAGCTTGCCAATCACAGGAGGGATTGAAGCCTGGAAGCCTGCTCATGGGAAAGAGAACGGAGTTGGGATGAGTGGCCTGAAGAGAAATTCCAGAGCCACTCCATAAACCACTCACCTGACCTAGAAAGCGGAGAAGCTCAGTCTTACGAGGTGGGACACACAGTTTAATCACTTCCCAGGGGACACTGGAGATTTAGGGCATATGGCAAGAAGCAAGGACCAACTCAAAATTCATGCACAGTCCTAGAAATGAACTTCTCCACAACAGGGTATTCCTATATGGTTTTTAACATCTAAATGTCTTCTATGAATTTCAGATTCTGAACTGGGACTTAGTCATTGGCCTGAGGCAGAAAACAGATTGAGAGTAGGTTGTAAGGAAGGGCAAAGAAAGACAGGAACTCAAGATGTCAGATAAAAAGTGTATGTTCAACTCCACAGAGATTTGACTTTTTTTCTGTAGCATAATGGAATGGAAAACAGAGGACTCTGAACCCAAAGGAGCAGCTTCAAGATTTTTTTTTTTTTTTTGGTTTTGGTTTTTTGAGACAGGGTTTCTCTGTGTAGCCCTGGCTGTCCTGGAACTCACTCTGTAGACCAGGCTAGCCTCGAACTCAGAAATCCGCCTGCCTCTGCCTCCCAAGTGCTGGATTAAAGGCGTGTGCCACCACCGCCCGGCTCAAGATATTTTCTACTACACTGTTCATTAGAGGAAAAAACCTTTCCTGGCAAGGCCAGGTGGTGGGTAGGGATCACCTGCTTCCATGGCAGAATCTCAACCCCAGGGAGTTCTTACCCAATGAGGCCAGGTTGCTGTAGTTCTCCAGCATCACCTCACGGTACAGGCTTCTCTGAGCAGGGTCCAGGTGCAACCACTCATCCTGGCTGAAGGACACGGCCACATCCCTGAACGTCACAGGCTCCTGGAACAGCAAACCCATTCCTGCTTACCCCAGACCACCATCTTCATCATCTGGATTAAGGTGACACTGGGTATATACCAAGAAATTAAAACTATCTCAGAATACTATGTACTTTGAATCATCTAGTTATGTAATTTTGTGAAAATAGTTATTAACTATTTAAGTAAACAAGTATTTACTGAGAACCCACTGGAATCAAAGCTGTGGGGATTTGGGCATTAAAATCCTTGACAGGAGGATATAAAATCCAAACCTAGAGGTGCTGGAGAGATGGCTCAGCAGTTAAGAGCACTGACTGCTCTCTCAGAGGTTCTGAGTTCAATTCCCAGCAACCACATGGTGGTTCACAGCCATCTGTAATGGGATCTGATGCCCTCTTCTGGTGTGTCTGAAGACAGCTACAGTGTACTCATATACATAAAATAAATAAATAATTTTTAAAAATCCAAACCTAGAATTTTAAAGTGTTCTAAGCAAGCATAGCCTTCTCTCACTCAAAGTCTAGGTAAAAGGAAAAAAATATAAATCAGGACACATGTAGAGCAGTGTAGGAAAGCTGAGGAAAACACCAACCAAACCGAAAGAAATCCATGGACAGAAAAAGTAATTATGGTTTATTAAGTATGTTAGGGATAGTGGTAAGAACTCTGCATGTACTATCTTCTTTAAATCTTATGAAAACCCTCTAGGGAGGAGGCTATAGTTAAAGCATTTTACAGATGAAAAACTAGGTCTAGAACAGTTAAATGACCTAGGTCAGCAGTTGATTCAGTAGGTAAAGGCACTTGCTGCCAAGCCTTGCCAACCTGAGTTTGATCCGTCCTGAGCACATGGTAGAAGAAAGCCAACTCCAAGTTGTCCTCTGACCTCCACACTTGTATTGTGATTCATACACACACAATAAAAAAAGTAAATAAAGAAGTTAAGTAACCTTCCCGAGAGACTACTGGGAGAAAGTGGTATTGAGTTCAAGTAAACACACTTCTGAGCTACTACAGATGGGTTTCTATTCAATATGAAAGTCAAAAGAACCACAGAATTTGCAAAACTATGTATGTGCCAAAGAGTCATTAATAAAGTAATTTCAACCTGGCAGTGGTGGTACACGCCTATAATCCCAGCACCTGTGAGGCAGAGGCAGGTGGATCCAGACCAGCCTGGTCTATACAGTGAGTTCTAGAACAGCCAGGACTATACAGAGAAACCCTGTCTCAGGTAGGTAGGTAGGTAGATAGATAGATAGATAGATAGATAGATAGATAGATAGATAGATGATAGATAGATGATAGATAGATGATAGATAGATAGATGATAGATAGATGATAGATAGATAGATAGATGATAGATAGATAGATGATAGATATAGATAGATGATAGATAGATAGATAGATGATAGATAGATAGATGATAGATAGATGATAGATAGATAGATAGATAGATAGATAGATGATAGATAGATAGCAAACAAAGTAATTTCTGCCAAAAGAAACAGCTCCCAAGTATGACAGAGTGCAGAGATTCTACTATAACACAGGAAGGTAGTGAGCTTTGGAACAATACTGTGGGTATTTTATTAGACTCCATCAACACGGGGAAGTCACGTCACTTTAGCCTTGCACATTTACCACTGGAACTGCTTCAAGGAACAATATCAGGACTAGGTAGGGACATTCCCTTGGGTGCTGAATGCAACATTAACTACTTCTAATGAATGGTTCCTGGCACACTGGTTACAGGACCTGTGAACGTGACATGCATAATGAAAGCGACTCTGCAATTCTGTTTACTCTAAGGACTGAGGCAAGAGCAGACTATGTAGATGAACGTGCAGGTAGAGCTGTGGTGACGACGGTCCTTACTAGAAGACTCAGCTGTGAGAGAAGCCCATGTGATCACAGAAGCTGTGACATAACGAACTGCTAGGCAGTGAAAAGGATTTTCCCTCCTGGTATCTAAAGAACCACCCCCGTGGACAGCTTAACAATAAAACAGTGTAAGACTTCTGACTTCCAGAACTGTGAGACAAGCGATTTGTGCTGTTTTAAACACGGAATCTGTGGTAAATCGCTGCACAGGAAAAAAATCAACATAGAGGTGTATAGTGGGAAATCTTCCCACTGCACTTGTATAAAGCTCAGCGATTGGGCTGTCTGAGAGGAAGGTGGAATGAGGAGTCAGAAGGAGAAGGAAGAGGAGAGGAAGAGGAGGAGCAAGGAGGAGCGAGGGAGGAGAGATATAGGGGCCATGGCACACCACACATGTATCGAGAGCAGTCCTGGGTAACAACTTCTATCACAAGGTTAGATATTGGGACACACCTCTAATTGTGTGGGCATCTTGTTATTGAGCATTACCAAACATATAAAGCCTTTGGATAATCTTTAAACATTAGAGTCTCATTTCTACCAGGTACTGTGTGGATGGTGGGATGGTCTGGGCTCAGCCCAACATTGTGGAGACCCCATCGTGGGAGATTGGCACATCTCCCATGACGGCATCCTATGGGTGCCAGGGCTGGTGTTTCTAGCTGTGGTGCACCTCTGGACGAGGAACATGGCAGCAGAGCTAAGCAGAACCACCACTCTATTCATAATATCAACCTCAACAGAAGTGAAAATTTAGGGATAATTAATGTACGTATCTATTATAAGTCAATGGATATGCAAATGATAATACACGTGTTACTTGAAATGTGTCAGCCATCAAACAAAAATGAGGTAAATCTGTACCCCTGGCACCAGACTTTATCTTAATATACAACTGATTCATATGAAAAGGAAAGCTATAAAACAATCTTTTGAAAAGTTTTATACATGTATATACCTATGTAAGATATACACAAAACACTTCCCTAATTATGCTTTGGTGTTTGTGGATGGGGGGAAAGTAATCTTTCATTAATTTCTTAACATCTTCAAAATTTTTCTATGTTTGTTCCTTTCTTTCAAATTTGTTTCCAGTGCTGGAGATGAAACCCAGGGCTTCTGTCATGTTAAACACATGTTCTACCCATGAACTACATACTCAGGCCCTGAGTTATTTCAGGTTACCACTTAGGATAAAGAGAGTTCCGTATCAGAGCACTTGCCTGGTAAACATGAGGCCCTAGGATCAGCCCCCAGTAACCACAAAAACAGTCAGAATCCAACTAAATTTCTAAATCAACTTCTATATTATACCTTGAAGGTCTGGATGTGAGCTGTCTTCACACACTCATGTGTCTAAACACTCACTTGGTGCCCAGCCGAGAGACTGTATGCTTTTGGAGCTGTGGTCTAGTCAGCATAAATGGGTCACTGGGGTAATATCCTGGAGGCGATATCATTTCTGATTCAGTTAGAGCTTTCGGCTTCTTGACCTATCCAGATGTGAACAAGCTGTAGTGAACATTACCACTGTCCTAGTCCAATCTGTTCCAGTGTTCCTTTTCCTGCCATGATGGACTGTAGTTCCTAAAACCATGAGCCAATAAATTCTTCCTCTTTTAAGTTGCTTCTGTCAAATATTTTGTCCTAACAACAAGAAGAGCAGCTAATACACACTTTGAATTATAACCAGTTTCTAGGAATACATCCTTATTTCTTCTCTACAGCAAACATACTCTTTCACAGAATACCAGAAAAAACTTACAAGGATACAGGACACTATCAACTCTTCTTTATGCTACAGCTGCTGGATGTTCCCAGTTGGCACAGTTTTTGAGACTGAACAAAGCATACTCCTGTACAGCTTTCATTAAAAGGCAAAGGAGACAGCACAGCAAGACTGAATGAGGATCTTCCTTAAGAATACACCAGGCTTCCCTCCAGTATCCTATCTCTGGATCTGTGTACAGGATCTTGGTTTGGGGAGCCCTCTAAAGAGGCCCTCATACTTACAGTTACCTTTCTAGTGCTCTAGCCTGAATGCCCAGCCAGCACAATTTCCTTCTTAGCTACCATAACATCTTCAAGTATCTCTTGTTTTGCTGGCAACAAACAAGATGAATCCCCTTCTGTCTAGGAATGCCTCTGTTTTGCCTCCATTCTTGAAGACTGTCTTCACTGGATACAGACTAAGTGATAGTTTCTTTCCACATATGAAACACCATTTGACTTTTTCTGAACTCTGTTGATTCTGATGAAAAGCCAATGGTTATCATTTCTGGGTAATATACTTTGGTCTGTTTTCAAATTTTTGATTTTTTTGTAATTTGTCTATGACTTTTCAGCTCAATATGATGAACAGCAGCCATGAGAGGCCATCACCACAAATCACGGCTACTCTAAGTGAGATGTGCTGTGTATATAAATGCTTAGTAGACTGGTTTACACACGCATATACACACATACCTGTAAACATAAATACACACATGCAGTTGCACACATACACACTCAGTATCTCCATAATTTGAATATACTGTATTAAACAAAACATTAAGTTACTTGCTACTGTGTACTTTAACACTGTTACTAGAAAGCTTTAGACACATGAACTACATGCATGGTTCACACATTACATGACAGTGACATGTGACTCTTATGAAAACCTCTTTCTCACAAAACTCTGCCTCAATACATTCAACTGCACATTACATTTCACTCCTCAGATTCTGTAAATTATGTAACCACATCCCTATGGATGAAAATGTATGTCTTTATTTTTCACTTGTATATATGCTATATGCATATGCATGTATTTCTACATGTGTGTGTGCATGTGTGTGGAGGCCGGAGACAGGTGGTGGGTCTCGTGCTCTATTTTTTTCTACCTTATTTTTTGAGATAGAACCTCTTAACTGAACCTGGAAATGGCTCCTTGGTGGTCTTTTGGGGTTCACAAACGGTTCCTAGCACAAGAAGAGACCACTGAGGATGAATCATCCTGCTCGGCTGGCTTTAGACTCCCATTTCTCATTCCTCAGGCAACACTACAAAGGTAAACATCAGCTCTGCCACTCCTCAGGATTTAAATTACTCAATGAAAAAGGGGGAAAATACTCTGACTTTACTAAGACTCGTTAACAGAGTTCCTTCTTCTGGTGAAGAGAACAGATGCTTTACCTCTAGCTCTGGAGGGAGACCTGACAAGTCTAAGCTAGCCTGAAGCTAGCTAAGTAGCTTTACAAACTACTGTGTCCTTCCTTTAAAAGTTAATCCAGGAGCTGGGGAGATGGTTCAGCACTGGCTGCACTTTCACAGGATCCAGTTTCAATTCCCAGTATATAGTATCTCACAACCATATATAACGCCAGCTCCAGGGATATGGCAAACTCTTCTGGCCTCCACGGGCATCTGGCACACACGGTGCACAGACATACATGCAGGCAAAGAATCCAAACACATAAAATAGAAATAATTTTTCAAAAAAAATTTAAAGAGTTAATTAAGCTGGGCCTGTCAATCACCTGACCAGAGTTTGCCTCTATCCACCTTCTCACCCCCAAAAGCTGATTCACTTGAAGACAGACATGCTAAAGACTAATTATCTCTTAATGAAATAATGTACTCAGCCTTCCCAGAAGCCTTTGGGCAGTGTCTTGTAGGTTCCCGTCCACCTTGGAGCTTGCCCAATTTTCAGAGTTATTCCGAAAACTCTAACTTTTCCTTTTAATTTTTTTTTTTCCTTTTTGTCCAAAATCTTAAACATGCTTTCCTTGGCATTCTGGGGTTTCTCACTCATTCTCTGAAGCTGCCTCCCCCAGCACACAACTGTTTGCTGTAGAGAGACTATCATATGTCTGTATGGATGTAGTATCTGTCAATAATAAGTCTGATGGCCTTTGGCTTAGGCAGGAAATAGGAAGTGTGACATCCGGGAGGAGAGAGAATTCTGGGACAGGGCCCAGCAAGAGATCCACTCGGGAAGATGTGAGGAGGTGGATACATGGCCCCTGAGCACAGGTAACCAGCCAGGCGGCAGAGTGTAGGTTAAAATGACTGGGTTACTTTAGTTATGATCTAGTCAGAGAAGAGCCTAGCTATTTGGCCAAGGAATCTGTAAATATATGTTGAGTCTCAGTCTTATTTCTGAGAGCACTGGGCTGAGAGAAAGAAGGAGACCTACAGTTCGCCTATCATGCGGCTTGCTGATCTCCACTGCTGAACCTGCCTTTCCTGGACCCTATCTCGGTCCTCCTGGCTGCTGCCAACACTTACAGCTTGCCTGCCCTGTTATTTTTCTCAAACTTGAATAACATTTTCTTCAAGCTTCCTTCTGTGTACATTTTTTGATTCTTTTACTACTGAAATTAAGAACCCAAAAGAAAGGACCAAGTTTCCCTGGCAAATGAAGGACACAGAAGACATTTTAAATTATGTCTTATGTCTATATGGATATATCGATAATAAATTTTTATGGACACATAATAATTTAATTATAATAATTAATAAATTTGTATGGATGTATCGATAATAAATCTAATGGCCTCTGGCTTAGGAAATAGGAAGTGGGACAAGAGGGAGAAGAGATAATTCTGGGATGGAGCCAGAGGAGAGAGCCAATGGTAGAGAGACCCTCATACCTCTCTCTTTGGCTAACAAAATGGGGTAGATACTCCATCTAAAGGATTCCCCATTTAAAAAATAAAGCACCTGGGATGTTTTATGAGACGGTCATTATAGGCTATCATCTGTTCTGGACCTGGCAGAATCCTTTGATAAGTGTAAGGAGGGAGGCTTTTGTATCTTTTCCTTGCAGGTCAGCTTCAACTTGGAGTTTGCATACCCCTATTAAATGGTAATTTTGCAAGGGAGAAAAGTGACAGGGGCAAAAAATGGAAACATATCCACATCTGAGTCAGAAAGCATTTGCACAAAGACAAGCTTCACTTACTGTGCCTCGGGCAGACAGCAAATCCACAGCCATTTCCCTTCTTAGTTTTCCTGCCAAAGGAGAGCTGAGTGCTGACCAAGTATGTCTGGAATGGAAAAAAGGTGTAGTAAGGAATTCTGGTACAAAGGGAAGGCTTAGAGCCAGGAGGGTAAAGCCACCCACAAAGGGGGTCTGGAGAGGTAGCTCGGTGATTAAAAGCCACAGAGAAATTTGACTATCAGCACCCACATTGGGCTATCCACAGCTACTTGTAACTCCAAGAGATCCAACATCCTCTCTGACCTCCTTAGGAACTATGGCGCAGACACAAACATACACACATAAGAATAAAGTTTTAAAACCCACCCATAATGGCACCAAATGATAAGAACGCTGACCAAGCCAACCTGTCAAAACTATACCCCTTCTGTACATTAATCACACTTCTACTTTCTTACACTGATCCCTCCACAACCATCTACAGGCCTGTTAGCACCTTGTACAAAAATCGTGGCAATGTCAAAAGACTGGATATGACTGATTTAAAATACAATGTATCCAAGTTCTCTGCAAATGCTGTGTCTGTCTACCTCAAGAACTTGAGTGTTAGCTGTTTGGGAATTCTTGGAACCAGTCCTCTGCAGTAGAGGTGGGGCTGTGCTGTCGACGTGGCTGGGGTGGACAGCCAAGGGGTTCACAGCCTGCCCAAAGTGACAAGACATAGCAAGCAGTACAGATGGCAAGGAAATTCTGCTTCCAGTCCAAGGCTCTGATCAAGACTCAGCAAATGCTCCGGCCACACTGTGCCTTGGTTTCTTCATTTGCACCATAGGCACAATGAAGGACCAAGGGGCCTGTAACTTGGTACTAGATGCGCTAATTCACTAAGTTAGACTAGACTGCTAGGTATCGGCTGTTGATTTTAAGATCTGCATCGCTAAGATGCTACAGAAGATGCACAGGCCACCGGCTCCGCAGTCTGGGCCCAGGCGCACTCCGTGGCGGGCCGAGCCTGCTGAAGGGTCCCCGAGCCAGAGGCCGCAAAGCCAGGCCGCGCCGGGCCCGCCGGGAAGCCCACCGCCCGCTAAGCCCCGCCCGCCCCCTTTGCTCCACTCACGGACGCCGGTGCTCGCTCCTGCTGCTCTCAGCACGACCAGTCTCGAGGATGTCGGTCCCAGACGCGCTCTCCCGGCACAGTCAGGATCACCTCGGCCAGGAGCCCCCCAAAACGCCGCGAGCAGCCCCGCCACCGGGAGAAGCCCCAGAGAACTACTACTCCCGGCATGCCTCAGATTCTTTCTGACTACACCTCCCAGAAGGCATCGGGACTAGGCGAGCTCTGAAAGTGAGTCCAGTTGTAGTGCATTGCAAACCCAGCAAACCTGTCCCGGCTCTTAGTCCTCAGACTTGTTTGCTATGAGGGTGAAGGGATGTGACAGGACAAAACTGGAATTTAGGGTTTAGTAGCGAGGTACCTATAGATACCAGGCCGGCCTGACTGACTATATATGGTGTTGCAGTACAGCCAGGACTATATAGCGAGACAAAACCCAAAAACAAACAAAAAAAATCCAAAAACCAAACAAATAAACAAAAAAACACTCTAGGAGAATCTGGTGTAGCCCCCATCACTAATCATGGGAATTTAAATTATTTTACCGTGTACACAAAAAACAATGTGACATGAGCCTTGATGTGCAGCCCAGGATGGCTTCAGAAAGCAGGAGGATTAAAAAATAAAAGTAATTGATTGAATGCCTTTGGATTTTTTTTTTTTTAATCCAGCTAGCTGCTGAATCCTAAGATCAATTGCCATTTGGTTAGAACAGTAATGAACCTTCAGAGATCCTGGCTATCCCTAACCCCTGGGGGGAGGGGGGAGGGGAGTTTCTTGTTGTTTTGTTCTTTTTGTTTGTTTGTTTAAAAGAAATACATAACCTTATCTTTCTGATCTGGAAAAATCAGCCTGAAGAACAACAAAAACTCAGCAGTGAAGGTGTTTAAATAGCCCCCATGGCTGACCTTAGGCTCTCTCAGAAGTCATAGTCTGTCAAGTGAAAATCCCAGTTCCAGGTCTGTGTTCTCTCTCTCAGTATCACTCACCATAGAGGCCCCTATAGCCTCATATTCTACAAAAGCAATTTTGTCTGTGTTTTTGCTGTTGGCGTTTGTTTCCAGAACTAAATGGAAGCCCCTGTTGCTGGGGGTTATCACATACTTTAGTTGTAGAATGTGGAGCATGGAGAAATCGGGTTTGGCCTGAGCTGGAAGATACCTCCATGCTAGCTCACTTACAAGTGCTCAAAAGCGCTGTGCAGGCTCCTAGGGTAGAGCCGAGGCCAAGTCTTGTTCAGCTATGAACACAGTATGGGTACAGCCAGGAGGTTCCATTTTCATTTAAAGCCTGCTCCACAGGAGAAAACTTATATTTTCTAGGGCAAAACTTGTGGCTGGGAAGATCCTAGTCCCCAGTAGGGGAAACTACTGCTATTTTTTTTAATAGGTATTACATACTTTCAAAACACTTGTGATTATCGGAATAGATTACCATGGTTATTAACACTGGTTGTGGGAGAAAACTTTTTTAAGTGTGTGCATGCTCACCTGCCCATGAAGGCCAAAAGCCGTGGGTTCCCAGGAGCTGAAGTTACAGGGAGTTAGGAATCACCCAACATGAGTGCTGGGAATTGAACTAGGGCCTTTTGCAAGAGTAGTACTATATCCTGACTTTTGGCTACTTTGTACATTCTTTTTTCTTCCACCTTCTCCACCTTTATCCCTTCCAAACCCCCAACACTAGGTAGGAGAGAAAAGGCTAGAGGGGAAAAGGGGTGTGGCTATCATTAGACTACTTCCTGCTGATGAGGAGCTTTGAGTTTCTTAGGGCAACTTTGATCTTTGTAGTCAGGATATCACCAACCAGAAACCAGCAACAGCAACTAGCAGGAGGGCATGAGCTGCCACAACCCTCTCAGGGGCTCTTGCATTTATATACCCTCTCAAGAGTCCCCAGAATTCTGACTGTCATACACTGGCAGAAACTATCTGCTGCTGCAAAATCATGCCCCTGCCAGAGCATGAGGCAAATCACAGTCTGCTGCTGTGGACTATCTGAAGCAGCCCCATATCCCACGCCTGGGATTCAAACAAAAGAATATTCCCAAAACATTTCTATATTTTAAAAGAAACCAAAATTCTCACTACATAGTAAACTGTTTTAACCATGGGATTGCAATCTCCCCTGACCTGGGAAGCACCCCTCCCCAGGAGGAGGTAGCTGTTGTGGGTCACAGTTGGTCTTGGTACCAAGAATACAGACTGTTGCTGTGGCATACTGACCCAGTGCTCAGCCATGAATGGAAGAAAACAATCAGACATCTATATTACTCTAAGGCACAGGGAATGTTGCAGAAGAGGAAGAATGGAGGGGGTGGTGTTCTATGCTTTGAATTTACCTTTAATCAAAACAGGAAAAAGGTGACTCACAAGACTCAAGAAGCTCTAAATATTTCACAGGCTTAAAAAGCTGACTCTAGAAGTCTATATATAAACAGTGCACAAGTGCTACAGGGAGCATAATGGTGCACTGTGACATAATTTCTCATTTCTAATGAACTCTCTCTCTCTCTCTGTGTGTGTGTGTGTGTGTGTGTGTAAATAAAATTTCAAAAGCATTTGTCTGAGGAATCTTTACCTCACAATTTAATACAGCAAAGGTAATTACTCTCTGAGAAAAACAAGTGGAGACACCATGCATTTTGTGCCTTAAAGTGCTTTCAGGTCTGAACCAGAGGTGGGAAATTGTGGGAAGAGAATTCGAGGAATAATACACCTACATACTCAGGGTGCTTTTCTTCTCAGCTTAGTGAGACTGTTGGGCTGACCTTCCTCAAATTGTCTTAAAGTTTGTCTCTGTATTTTTAATTGTCAGTTCTGTACAGGCAGACAACTAAGTGCTGGTAGGATTTTGGTATTGTCATTTTTATGCCCATCACTGGATTTTCTACGTTGTAAATGTTCACCCTTCTTCACCAGTCTAAAGCAACCTAAGAGATGTATCGGGGTTGTCATGAGGTGGATTGGTTGTGATAAAGATGTATTGGCCAAGAGCTGGGGCATGAAGCATGACGGCAGACCTTCCCGACAGCGAGAGTAACACAGGTGAGGCAAGAAGGGAGGGATTCGGAAGTGGACAGAGACTGGAGAGAGATGGGGGGGTAAATAACTAGCGCTGTGGCTGTTCTCAAGCTAGTATAATTGGGTTAAGTTTAAACTGCAGCTGGGAGACTGCCTCACAAAAGGCCTAAGCTTTAAATTATGCTGGAAGTCTTCATGTTGCTGGCAGGACCAAGAAAATCCAGCAATAGAGAAAGGAAAAATGAACCAAAATTTTTAACAATCAACAAGAACTTGTTGCCAGAGTATTAAAAAGCAAACTTTAGTGACCATGAGGCAGCTGTGAGTTACCTATGTAGACTTCTTTTCTCATTTTTTTTAAATTCAGCTATTTTGCATTCACATTCAAAGGCACTGTCCAACGTAGATCCTAGACTGGACTGAAGTATGCACTTTTACCTAAATCAGCAGGTCCCCAGTGATGTTTAAAAAAAGCTGGTGGCTATTAAGTCTGCATCACTAGAAAGAAAATATTAATCCTTGAATCTCAGTGTCAACTCCGCTGTGCCAGTAAAACTTCAGAACATGTGGAAAAGTTTGTATTTATGTTTTCCAAACACTCACAGGTTTATACTGTATAAATGTCTGATGCCTGATGTTTGCTGAAATCTAACTTCATGCTCACCCCCAACTAACTACCACACATCACTCTCCAGATGAATTCTGTTACAGTCATTATGGAATGTCTCAAGGCAGATTTACCACATGCATTTTACTTATATGGTTTTTCTCAATAATGTGTCTTCTGGTGGTTGGCAAGAGATGAGCTCTGACTGAATGCTTTCCCGCATGCTTTGCATTTATAAGGCCTTTCTCCTGTATGAATCCTCGTATGTGTCATAAGTGACGAACTCTGTCTGAAGGCTTTCCCACAAACTTTACAGTTAAACGGTTTCTCTCCAGTGTGAATTCTCTGATGCTGAATAAGGGCTGAGCTTTGGTTGAAGGCTTTTTCACAGTCATTGCATTTATAAGGTTTCTCACCAGTGTGGATTTTTCTATGAGTATTGACTGCAGAGTGGGAACTAAAAGCTTTCCCACATTCTTTACAGTGATAAGGTTTCTCTCCTGTGTGGATTCTGTGGTGGATGTTAAGCCGTGAGATCCAGGAAAAGGCCTTCCCGCATTCGTCGCACTTGTATGGCTTTTCTCCAGTGTGGATTCTCTGATGTTGGATAAGCGCTGAGCTTTGGCTGAAGGTCTTGCCACATTCCTTGCATGCGTATGGCTTCTCTCCAGTGTGAATCCGCTGATGTATAATCAAGGCTGAGTAGTAACTGAACACTTTGCCACACATGTTACAGTGAAAGGGCTTCTCTCCGGTATGAATGCGGTGGTGTCTGCTCAGCCGTGATATTGATGTAAAGGCTTTCCCACACTGGCTACATTCGTATGGTTTCTCCCCAGTGTGAATTCTATGATGCTGAATGAGAGATGAGCACTGGCTAAAGGCTCTCCCACACTCGTTACACTTGTAAGGCTTTTCTCCAGTGTGGATCCGTTGGTGATTATTAAGGGATGAGCTGCCTTTGAAGGTCTTGCCACATTCCTTACATTTATAGGGTCTCTCTCCAGTGTGCATCCTCTGATGCCCGATGAGAGAGGTGGTGAAGCTGAAGGCCTTCCCACATTCACTACAGATGTATGGCTTTTCTCCAGTATGGACTCTCAGGTGCTGTGTCAGGGACGAGCTTTGGCTGAAAGCCTTCCAACATTCCTTACATTTGTAGAGCTTCTCTCCAGTATGAATCCTCTGATGTTTGCTCAGGGAAGAACTGTGGAGAAAGACTTTTCCACAGATGTTACATTTATAAAACTTGCGCACTGTGTTGAATCCCAGTTGTTTGAATAGAACTGAGTACTGGTGGGGGTGGGGCTTTCTTCCCCTGGAGACAACTCCAGGTTTCCTAGGAAATGGAGGCTTTATACCAGGATTTCTCACAAGTTCGATCCCTGGAAAGCCCCTCTCTTGTATATATTCTCTTCTAACAGAAAGCAGCATTTTGCTGAAAGGTTTTTTCTTATTGCCTGGTTGCTCCACTAACTGTTCCTTATTCACACACGTTTTTCCCAAAATGAAGTCAAACAAGCCATCCACTCTCTGTTTTTTCAAGACTTCCTTATTTTCTTCTTTGGAAACTATGGGTTCAAACAAGCTCTTCCATCCTAAATTAAACAAAATGTAAGCAACTCTTGCACAGAGAATAAAAGAAAATGATATAAAACTACCTGACACAGTTAGCAAATTCATATGACACAGCTAACAAATCCAAACTCAAAATTTTAGGAAAAGTTAGGACAAAGACAAAAAATAGATGAGGGTAAAAATGCCTGAAGGGAAATGTCTAAAGAAACATGTGTGTGTTTCTGTGTGTGTGTATGTGCCTATGTCTCTCTGGGTGTATGCATGTGTCTGTATCTGTGCGCGACTGTGTGTCTCTGTGTATGTGTGTGTGCACCCGTGTGTCTATGTGTGTGTGTCTGTGTATATGTGCCTAAGTCTCTGTGTGTGTGTGTGTGTGTCTGTGTGTCTGTGTGTCTCTGTGTATGTGTGTACGTGCCTATGTGTCTGTGTGTGTGTGAAGGTGGGCTGAGGATCTCAGATGACAGCTCTAACAGTAGGAAGGGGTGCCAATCTTGATTTAGCAACAAAGCTTCAGGTATTTCTGAGCACAGCTTATGTTACTGTTCAATTTCATCACCCAGGTCAGAGGTCAGTATACTCAGGTAAATCCCAAAAGAAAGCTGCAGGGAGGAAGAGGAGGAAGGGAGGAGGAAGAGGAGGAAGAAGGAAAAAGGGAGGAGGAACCCCTGCCCCAAGAACTCTGTGAAACAGTGTCAGTCTCAACAGTGCCACTCTGGCCCTTGTCAGAGTGCTAATGTAATGAGCCTTCCCTCAATAGACCATGCAAAGGCCAGTGCTCTGTGAATTACAGGGAATAACCAGGCAAGAGCCAACTGTCCATTCAACAGCCACATAACCAAATTCCCAAAGAGGTAACTATGGCCTTATGAGAAGCATATAAGAACAAACAAAACCAAAGCAACCTGTAGTGGAGGTAACTATACTGATATTTAAACTGAGTGGTAGGAAGATGAAGTTGAAGATAAAATCTAGGGCCCAGCCTGAGTGATGGGGAGCATGCTGCCTTCAACAACTTAGTTCAGTCTTAGACGCCAGTGGCACAAGGAAAGCATCGGCTCCTGGAAGCTGTCCTCAGCTCCCCACTCATGCTGTGGCTCATCCGAAAACTACCACCCTGCACAAAATAAATAAGTTAATGTAAGAAAAAGATAAAATCTAAGTAAGAGCCAGGATAGTAGAGATACACTATAAGAAATGAAATCATTGATTCAAAAGAAATGAATATATTTTATAAAAGAGCTTTCATCCTCTTGATTATAAAAGAAGTTACCAATATAGAAAAACTGAGAAATAGAATCAGACAGAGGGCTTGTTGTCAACACTCCTTGCTCAAAGACAGTAGAGTGGAACCAAGTGTGGACACTACTGATAGGGAAAAAGAAATCTAATGTCAGAATTCTACTGTCAATTCTATGTCTAAAGGAGAGGAGAAAGAACTTCAGATGTGTGTGTGTGTGTCTTAAAAAATTATTGATAGAAAATATCCTCATCAAAACAAAGGAAAATCTAAAGACAGTTCATGAATGGCAACCCAAGATGAAACTGACTCAGAATGCCCAGCTACTGCCAGAACACAGTGAATTCTGGGTAAGCAACTGAGTCCAAGAGAATCTTCCTCTGGTACCAGAAACAAAGATAAAATCCAAAGCAGAACAGGATCTGGGCACTTAGGATACAGCAACCAGAGTCTAACAAACTTAGCTGTACATACCAGGAACCATATATCTGCTATACATGGCTTGCAAATGTCACAGTCAAGAATGGCTTGATGAGTATCTGCAAACCTGCTTAAATTCTATACTGTCACCATTTGGCACATCTACCTTGTCATGTATCTACAATATACATATACTTTTGTTGTTTTTCCTTAACAATGGATATTGAGTTATAGACAAAAAAGTCGAAAGCCCAAGACAGTGCGGTAACACATTATCATGAAAACCTCTTACATTCGAAAAGACTGGACTTTTGTTGGACCTCATAGGCAGAGTTAATTAATACACCTAGAGATCACTTAAGAATTAGGGCTGCTACCCTCCTTATGAGCTTAGCCCGTTTGTTTAGCTTGCCTTTGCAAGAACAATGTAACAGCTGCCCTTATTTCCCTTGGATTTTTCCATGCAACCAACTTTTAAAACCTTTAGCTAATACATAATTTCAATCTAATTCCATGCCCTGGACCCAGAGAGCAATGCATGATGTGGTAGTCACTTGTAGAAAGGAAAAAAATAGGTTGAAAAACAACCTGATACAATAAATATCTGCCATAAAGTCAGTAGTAGCATTTGGGTATCACATGACAGCGCCGGTCTGTTATCTGGGTCAGCTGGGGTTAGTAAAGCTTTCTCCCTTGTAAAACTCTGTTAAAGATTTCTGTAAAATATCCCTCATTCTTTTCCCATATTTCTGTGATGTTCAATAAATACAGAGCTAGAGCCCTGCTGTGGATTTAGTTTATTGTTTTTACTATGTTAACTGGGTTCCTAAATTGCATGGAAATTTGCATATCTGCTTGTGAGATGCTGATGGTCCCTGTCTCCAGCTGGTTCTAGTTTGTAAATGAAGTTGCCAGTGGTCAATGACTGGGCAGGGAGACAGAGGTGGGACTTTGAGGTTCTCTGGCAAGGCACTTGAGGAGGAAGAGACTTGCCACTGCCTGGGAGGAGAAGGTCCCAGCCTGAGAGGTGTATGAGAGACAGAGACACTTCCAAGATGTAAGAGTCGGGGGTCATGGCCCATAAGAGCTACAGGCCTGGGTCCATGGTGGCCAAGATAGAAAATAAGTTTTTGTAAGCAATAAGTCAGGAATATCGGAGGGGAGAGTACATTAGCAGCAGGGAGGTTTGGAAGTGCCCAGCCATTGAGCTGTTCAAGACATATTAAAATAGAAGGGAGTGTGTATGTGTGTGTGTACGAGTGTGTGTGTGTGTGTGTGTGTTTCATTCTTGAATCCAAAACATTTGGGCAGGTAGCAAGGAGCTTGCACGCACCTGCTACTGGGGAGATTAGATCGGATTAACCAGCTACTGCTTCAAAGCCCTTTGTTAGGGACACACACAGGCACAGTGACAGACAAATTCATAAGAGAGCATTCCGGCAGGCACAGATTAGAACAGTAGAAGGATCAAGAATGATAAACATTCAACATACAACAGCACATGCTTTCAAATGACAAGAGGCACTTGACAAAGTACAACTCCTGCTTGGACAATTCACCTCTCCCCCTGAACCCAATGATCAGAAACAAAAAGGAGTCATGTCCTTGCCAGCAACCCCCATGTGCTGACACATCAAAGGAAGTCCCTAGCCTCCTGTCCTCTGCGCATAATCCCCTTAATGTGTCCAGGCATGTAGGAAGTGCCAAGTTCAAGTCCCACTCCCTCTGACACTTACTGAGGTATACACCTTGAAGTATTTCACTTTCCACCATCTGGAAGTCTTCTGCTTGCTCTAACTGAGAGATGACCTTTGGCTTGGAAAACAGAATCCCTGTTCATGAACAGGAAGACATGAGTGGCCATACTGGCAGAGATCCAGTCCAAGTAGACTGTAAGGTAGGGGTACCATGCACAGGAGGAGAAACTTTGTTTAGAAAGCAGCCTAAAACTGGGCTCCTAGAGGATGTCCAGAAGCCTCAGGATCTGAGTCAGGCTCTGGCTTGGTGCTCCTCTTGGTGGGATATCTTAGGGGACCCATAGCAACAGGAAAAACACAAGAGAAGGTACTCTTTGTCAACTCAGCTGTGTTCAGACTTCTCAGAATAGCCAAGGGAAAGAGCAGCCATGACTGAACCCATCCACAGGCCCAACCTAGCCGAACCCTGCACGTGTCCTCCCAGGTGGTGGGTAGGGATCACCTGCTCCCATGGCAGAATCTCAACCCCAGGGAGTTCTTACCCAATGAGGCTAGGTTGCTGTAGTTCTCCAGCATCACCTCACGGTACAGGCTTCTCTGAGCAGGGTCCAGGTGCAACCACTCATCCTGGCTGAAGGACACGGCCACATCCCTGAACGTCACAGGCTCCTGGAACAGCAAACCCATTCCTGCTTACCCCAGACTATGCCCACAGATAGCTTGGCTGAGAAGCAATCCTGTGAGGGTATTGAGTGTATCAAACCAAGCAAGTACTTCTGGACATCACCTTAATTCTCCAGCATAAATTCATGTATACAGTAGGTGACACTGTGCCCTCCGAAAGCGCAAATACAGCATCCTTGTCTTGCATCATGCAGAACTGTGCATGGGGACACGTCTAAATAAACAAAACTTGAACTTATCGGTTCCTGTGCTCTGCTTCTGCATTCATCCTATGTAACCTTTTCTTTCTGTTCCTTTGGATGCAGCCCGGAATCACTTCTAAAGATTAGGAGGAAGTTAGATATGCGTGTGAAGGTAGGGGCTGGTATAGGGACAACGTTCTATTGTTTAAGCTCAGGATATTGGAACCAATGAGCATTAAGGAGACAGGTGATGATGAGACCAGTCCTACAATCAGGTCACGAGACCTCAAGTAGGTTAACATATCTGGGAGGGGTAAGCTTTCCACTAGTCAAAAGGTTTAAGTGGAAAACAATATTAAAAACTGTACTGATACTCCTTGGCCTGATTCTATCTCCTTTGCCTGTACAAGGAAGTGTCTACTCTGATAAAACCTTGCTTGTGGAGGTTCTTTGTATGTCTTGTTGAAATCTTTCTTCTCCATGAGGATGCAAGAACCAGGGGACTAGGTAACAGCCTCTGCTCAATAAGTGAGGGTGAGGGAGGGCAGTTAACTCCTGGGCAATGGATACTAACTGATTCCTGGAGACACTACTTGGAAACTGGCCTGAGGCACAGAAGAAGTGCCTCCCTTCAGGAGTTAGGGCTTCACCTTATAGCAGCTTCTGTTCCCCCTTAGGCTCTAAAGCCCAGAGAAGAGCAGGCAAGGATGGAATAAACCCCCCACCACCACCCTGCAGCCCAAAGGCAGCTCAAAAAAGAAGTGGCCTTCACTCACCTGAACCTGGGCTGGCAGCAACCTCTTGGTCATTTCTCTCCCTCTGTAGCTCCTCCTGAGAAGACACCTGAGACAGAGAAAGAAGCTGTGAGGTCTACTCATCCTGGCTGCTCTCCAGCCCTCACTGGGCCAGACCAGGCTGGGAAACACCTGCTGAGCATCTGCGCAACCCAGCCTCCCCAGGCCAAGGGAACCTGGGCATGAGTACCAAAGCCAGACGTGGGCCACAGGCACATTATGTTAGTGTACCTTTTTGCTAGAGATTATGAATAAAGATGAACCGAATTAAACAGTCACAGCTATCAAGTTCATTAGCAAGGTAAAGCGCACCACTGTGTGCAACTCATGGAGGGTAAGAGAAAAGCCCAAATCTTCCACATATCTGCACTTGGACATGCGAGTGAAAGAAATGACTGCAGAATGCATGTCCTTTTCAGATCCACCAACTAGAAATTAGTCCACTCTTCCTCATGGGCCTTTGCCTCTGGTCAAAAGAATGTCACTTAAATTAACAAGAACACACACACACACACACTCACTCGCTTGAGGAACGGCATCACTAGCCAGAACTCAATTTAAATTTTAGAGAAAAGGGGCAGCTCCTGTAGAGCACAAGATATTAACTCGTCCCGGGCTCCATGCCCAGCATCCTTCTGCTTCTGTCCAACAGTAAAACCTTAGAGCATAGGTATAGGAAAAACCAAAAACCAAAAACCAAAAACCACGGATTGTGGAGTTCACTGTAAGACACTATCCAGTACCGAAGACGGACAGAAATGAGGAAAGTTTCAGCTCCCAAATGGAAAGGCTGCAGGCGATCTGCTCAAGGCTGACTCCCTAACCTGAAGCCGGAGGCTTCCTTGACCGCTGCTCGGGCCGCGGGACCCGGAATCAGGGCCCGAGGCCTGCACCTGCCGCCGAGGCCTGTGCGCACTCCCACCAGGCTTGCAACCCTGCCCTGCAAGCTCCCGGCCACGCCAGCTCTGCCAGAAAGCCCAATACGCTCAATGCCCCGAGCTGGTGCGACTAGGTTCAACTGCGCGTGCGCGCGAGCCACCTGGTTTCCGTTGTGGACTACATTTCCCAGAAAGCACTGCGACACCCCACCCTCCCACCTCGGACCATATGGAGAGGGACTGACCCCTAAAGGCTGAAAGTCTGCTTTTCAGTTGGCAGGAGCTTTCAGGCTTTTTTTGTACAGGCTTCATTCAAAATTACAATGGCAATACTACTAAAGAGCGCAAAGGGAGTGTGCATTAAAAGTGTAGAAGAATAAGGCGCTGGCTGCTTCAGATAGTGAAAGGACTGTCCTCTTTAATTTTTTTAATAGAAAATTATGCTCTTTCTAGGCTACAAAAGATACATAATATACACATTCTTTCATTGCTGGCTCATACTTCAATATTAAGAAAATAAACTGTCATATTAGTTATTACTGCCACGAGCAGCTCAGATTTTCAGGGAAAGCAAAGAGGTAGGAATAAAATTTATTCGTTACTTGAGTTGGAAGTGTATCCCTGTCTTTGTCCACTGTAAAGGTTCTGAAGAATGACAATATGGCCTCAATTAGATCCAAATTATGTTCTCTAGGTAGCAATTAACACAAAGAATTCCTTAAGGAAGTCTCAGGGGATGGGGCACACGACAAGATCTGTGCCTGAAAGGAAGTCAGCAAAAGGCCACACATATCGCAGTGTCCCAGGAGCCAACTTGAAGGACTTCTGCTGAACCGAGGTGGGAGAATTTCATCAGTAGAAGACTCTGCAAAGCTCTGAAAGTCACTAAATGCTGTACGATTCTATCTTGCTTCTATTTCTGTCAAAATGTACCAGAAGGAATGGAATTACCCCCTTCAAAAAAAAAAAACCTCACCAAATCACCCACAGAGAAAGCATTCAACACATGCTAAAACATACCACTTTAGTTTATGGGCTGTTTTGGTACTTTCTGTAGGCTTTTAGTCGATAGTTTTGACAACCTAAAGAAGATCCCCAGATGGCTAAACTTTTAAGTCATGAATGAAGTAGATATTACCAAACTGCTTTTTCAGTGTCCATTTAGATAATCATGTTTTTGCCTTTAATCTGTTAATGTAGTGAATTACAGAAATACATTTCCTAAATCATTACATCCCCCAAGTCGTTAATCCGCTAAAGTACATCTCTGGGTCAAACATGACAGATTTGTCTCTGTCAGTTTGTAACTGTTGGGCTGGCTCTTTCTGTCCCCTCTGCTTCTTGGTTTGGCCTGAACATTAATTTCATTTTTTTATTTTACCTATAATTAATTTCACTATGTGTGTTGTCATTTTCTCCTATTCTGTGATATTTTATTAACAGAGAAATTCCTGTGTAAAAGTTGAGTTTCACGGGTTAGTTTGCTGTTCCCTGGAAGGCTTCACATGTATATTTTCTGTTCTGAGTGAGAGCACTCCCATGTTCTGCAGTACAACCTGTTGTGTTTTATAAAAAGATTAAGAGAGATGGTATATGTTTGGTGGATGTGTAGTCAGATGTGGGGGGAAGGGGTACATCCACGGGCCCATGCTGAGGCATCCCTTCCTCCTAAGGGACCAGTCACATGACAGTATAGTGTAGAATAGAGTTTATTCCGGGCATGGAGAGAGAAGTTGAGAGAGAGAGAGAGAGAGAGAGAGAGAGAGAGAGAGAGAGAGAGAGAGAGAGAGAGGAATGGGAGCATGAGCAAGAGAGACAGGAGAGGGCAAGCAGACCCTTTTATAGTGAGTCAGGCACACCTGGCTGTTGCCAGGTAACTGAGGGGCAGAGCCCAGACTAATGCCAACACAACCTGAGGAAGGAGAGATGTGTTTGGTGTTCCTTCGTCTTCTTCACCTCACTGGGTCTGCCTGTTCTCTGAAAAATGCTGTGGTCATTTCCATTTCTTTTCTACCCCACAGCGCTGAAATGGAGCCCATGGCCTTGTGCATGCTAGGCAGGCACTCTACTGTGGAGCTAGACTTTTTTTTTAAAGGTCGGGATCTAGTTTTGCATTAATGTCCTGCTTTCAAATCTGCTTATAGCTTAGTGAGTTGTTTTGCTTTTATCCCCTCATACTCTCAGTTTTTCTTTTGAAGTTTCACACACAAATTTTCAGCATGAACACCCTTTGTTGTTTCTTGATGTTGTTACTGTTGTTATTTTGACATTGGTCTTCGTCTGGGCTCCAGCTGCTGTTCTTTCTACCTGCCAGACATCAACACTGCTTTACCTTACTCTTCATTCAGGTTTCTGCTCACGACACCATCCGCCTTGCTGTGTATTCAACTGGATATCCATATGCAAATGATTGATGTTGGACCCAACCTCATACTATACTCAACATGGATCAGAGATCTAAACGTTAGAGCTAGAATCCTAGAACGCTAAACATAAAACACAAGCACATAGGTGATGTCTTAGTTATGGTTTCTATTGCTGTGATAAAACACTGGGACTAAAAGCAATGGGGGGGGGGGCAGGGC